AGGGGGGGGGGGGGGGGCGACCATATATATATATATATATATATATATCTGTGTGTGTGTGTGTCCTAAACCCGTCCTTCCTAAACCTTAACCCTGCCCAAACCCTCAACCCTCGCGATCGGCTTCGACTGTTTTAAGCAGGCAGCTGCGACTTGCGAGCCGTGCTCCTTGCGAGCTGTCACACTGGCTGTGAGAAGGCTCTTCGCGAGCTGTCATTTCTTTCAAGCTGAAAAACGTCTCCTCGTGTGCCCATCTGAGGAGGACCGATGTCCAAGTCTTGCCTGGCCACTTTCCCTACCTCCACCCACTCCTCTTACGCCCGTGTCAGATAAACCCCGCAGCACATGGGGAATCAGCCGTCAAAAACCTATGCATCTCCGAATCTACTCTCGGCACAAACGCAGCTGGGGAAAACGGTGATCTACCAGGCAATTTTGTCATGCCGCTATGGTAGCTGGAGTGAGATCGGGATTGCGCCTTATTCTCATCAATCATCTGCACTAGCAGCGACTCCACTTGGCTCATCCGATCCACTGGAATCAGCTCCGGAGCCTCCTCCTCCTCCTCCTGGCTCTCCACCTCCCTTTCAGCCTGGGGCTGACTCCGAACGGTCACATCCATTCCACGTCTAGCTGCGCAGCCTTCTATCCTTTTCGGAGACCTCCTGTCCTTGGACCGGCTCCTGAAGAACCATCGGATCATCCGAGGCTCCAATCTGCTCCTCAATGGACGCTGGCGATTGATCGCATTTCCTCCGTGGTTTGAGCATCAAGCGTTGGCAAAAACGAGCGCTCTGCTCCCCTAAATTTTTCTTGGCCGGAACTGATTCGGTGGCCCGTCCGGATCGCCCCTCTGCACGTTTGGAGAGCATGGGAGCACGGGAGCTTCATTGTCCCTGTTGGGACTTGAAGAAAGCCTCGAGGACGAGAGGCCGAGGAATGTGGCCCGGGCGGTCAGGACGACGTTTCGAGCGTTCGATGCTGAAGGCAGTGGCTCTGGAACAGCGGTTGATGGTTCAAGTGCCTATTCCATCGGTCATCTTCGGTCGATGTACGAAGACTTGCCACTCCCATGAATTGAAATTCTTTGTGGCAGAGGGCAGTGTGGCTGCCTTGCTCTACGGAACCCATGTCCACGTTTAGGACGAGCTAGGGGTGTTTGTTGCTCGCCCCAGAAGCTCGAGCTTGGCTTGGGCGTGCACAGGGAGCGGAGCGTTTGGGTTTAGGCCGCAGAAGAGACCCGTTCTGAGGCCTCGGCAGCAGCAGGAGCCTCAAAGAGTCTCAAGAGCAGAGTCGAGAAACCTTCCCTTTTCTCGGTGACGCCGCGAGCACGAGGCTCTTTCGGCAGTTTTTGCTGAAGTCTGGCTCTTAGCTTGGCAGTCGAACCGCAGTCGCACGGGCCTCGGCCCTCCAGAGCTGAGGCCATGCTTGTTCTTGTTGCCCCTTTGGATGCTCCTCTGGTCGCTCAACTCGACATGGACGAGGGAGAAAAGGGGGGGGGAGGGCGGAGGTCAGGGGGACCTCTGTCTTGCTTTCGCCATTGTGAGGCTTCTGGATTGTCTTCAGCTGCTCTTCATGCAGCGACCCCATGGCATGGTCCGTTTCCCTATCAAAGCCCTTTTCAGTGACAGGATGCAAATCATTCACCCCTTCTACTACTTTGCGCCGGGACCCGAAGATGCGGATCCGGTGAAGCGATTCCTCGCAGCTGCGGGCAGGTTTTGCCACACGGTCATTCCAGCCGTCCTGGTTTGGTACCTCTTCGCCCTGCAGGCGCGCGCACGGGGGATTTCTTGAGGTCTCGGTCTCCGCGGGCTCTTCAGGCCACGGAGGAGCGCCTCGTGCTTGATCAGCGGCGATCGCGGCGTGCAGAGGCCAGCGAAGTTTAGCTGGGCATCCGGCCGGAATCCGGCCCCGCCGGAAGGAGAACGCAAGTTGCGATGCGGCCATGGCTCCTCCGAGCGTGGTGGAAGACGCAGCTCCGGTGCTCCTCAAGGCTGGGCCCCTCGCCTCGGGGCCCAGCGCGACAGCCCGACAGCCCCGCTTCTGCCCCGCAAGCCGTGTGCAGGAGCTCATCACCCTGAACCCCGTGGCCATGCTTGGGCTGCAAAGCTGCCAATGATGTAGGGGGGCCGCCGTAGCCCGTTTCGGTGTGTGATCTGCGCCGAGGCTCGGCACCTGCGCTTCCATCCCCATCCTCCTCTGCTCGCTCTTCACCGTCTTCCAGACCAGGCCGCGCCCGCGGACGTGAGTGCCTTTCCTTGCATCTGTAACTCTGTGTGACTCTGTAACTGTGCATTGCTCGACTACCCCGAAAAGACTTCGTGATCACAGTGGGTATGCCTACTACTTCAGCAAAAGCATCCCGTCCTCATCAGAAGTTCCTCCTAATTATGACGCATTAGATCACATCGACGTACCTAGCGGACCTAGCACTCAACTAAGTAAGCATCTGTTCTTCCTTAGCCTTAGCACATGCTTTGTGCTCGGGGCTCGTGTCTTGAGTGATGCGATTGGGAGATGGTGGCTCAGAGCAACTTCTGATACGTGGTACTGACATGGCGAAAGCATGCAAATGCGATGTGTTCGTTCCAGGCTTCGGAGGTCATGCCGCAAAGCCATGGTTCGCTGGTCCAGACTGTACAGTGTTGGCCGGGTTTTTGGCTTTCTTTGATTTCTTCACAGGTTTTGGATTTTAGGAACTAGATTCATGACTCCCCTGCAGGCGGGCGAGACATGCTCAGGCTCGGAGACTGCTTGACAAAGTGAAGTACGTCGTCCGCGAGTGCCGCCCACAGTGCAGGGCTTTGTGAATCTCATCTACGGCCTGCTCACCGTCTTTCAGCTGGCCCGGAGCCGTCAGTCCGAGTGTGTCAGTGAGCGGAGCGGAGCGGAGCGGAGCGAGGCCTCGCTGTACCTCCTCTACCACCTGCGCTTCGCTCAGCTCCCGGAGGCCCCCGCCCGCCCCCGGGCCCCGCATCTCGCGGAGCCTCGCTCTCTGCACCTCTGCAAGCGTCGCTCTCTGCACCTCTCGCTCCGCGCGCTCCTCCGCGTCAGATGTATCTGGCGGCCTTCTACTTCCTGATCTCCATCCCCTGCTTCGCCGTCTGGTGCCGGGTTGCGAGGCGGCTGTTCCGGAACGCGGCTCAGCCTCTTTGGCAGGTGCGTTTGCCTGGCCTGCGCCAACCACTTTGCCAAAAAGGACAGCCGCTTAAGGCTTAAGGGGAGTCAGAAGCGCTTTGGCACTCTGGGCCCGGGCCCCCGCCTTCTGCAGGACGTGCAGCTGTGCCAGTCTCAAAGGATCGAGCGCGCCAAGGAGGCCTTGAAAGCCAGTCCGCCGGCAGGGGCCTCAGGGGGCCTCCAGGAGCACCTCGACTTCGTGACATGCCCTCCTTCGAGGTCCAGGTGTCCTTAAGCCTTATAACAGTTGAATGGGCAGTTTTCATCTTCTGGGTGGGACTTAAACAAAGCGAGCCTCAAATTCAACTTCGCGCGTGCGCTGCCTGGGCAGCCTCCTCCGTGGCCTCGTGGCCTCTCTGCGAGGCGCCAGAGGTCTTGGAAGTCACACGGTTGCGCTGCAGTCGTCAGCGACGAGGACAGCCAAAGCCAAAACCAAAGTCAATTCTATTTGGCTTTCCTGGGCATGCGTAGCAAACGCAGCCGTGCAGCCTAGGCTCTGTAGCCAGAAAGGAATGTGAATGAGTGCAAACTGCACCGCGCAGCTCAGCACTAGTTGGAGAGGATCGCTGAAAGCCGCTCAGGACCGGCTCAGGATCACTGAGACCAACAAAATTCGCCGAGATCGACGCATGAGTAGGCACAGCAACGAGAACGTACACCGCCGCGCGCGTGCCGTGACCGAGCCTGAAGCCGAAGGACGCGTCGCAAGAGGACGCGTCGCATGCGGCGGCGGCGCGAGATGCCCCGATGCTCGCTCTCTCTCTCTCTCTCTCTCTCTCTTTGCGACGCTTTGTTTCTCAGGCCGCGGTTTCGGGCGCCTTGGAGAACGGAGCCCAGCGACGGGTCTTAGGCCGCCTGCCCTTCGTGCAGTGCTGAGGCAGGCGCTGCTGGTCGACTGCACGGAGGCTTCCAGGGCAGGGGCACAGTTCTGGATTCCTGTTTTCCTTGTTCTTGGGCCTAGTCAAGAAAGGCAATGGTAGGCGAGGGAGCATGCGTCACCTCAGTTCGCTGGATGGGGACAATGGACAAGCCACCTTGTCGCGCGCATATTAAGAAAAGCAAGCAGCCGCTTGAGCAAAGACGGTCCTCAGAGCAAAATGTCAGTGTTGCATGGAGGGAGGGAGGGAGGGAGAGAGAGAGAGAGAGGGGGTGGGGGGGGACCACCTTGCCCTTTCTGGCCTGGTACTAGTAGCGAGAGAGAGAGAGAGAGAGAGAGAGAGAGAGAGAGAGAGCGAGAGAGAGAGGGCGAGGGTTGTGGCACGATTGTGTGAAGTCTGCGTAGGGGGCAACACTTCACAGGTGCAACACAAGAACCGGAAATGCATCAGCGACGCTTGCGTGAGAGAGCTACTGAAATGTCAGGCGATCACGCGTGAGTACGAGCTTATCTACACCGCCACCGGCCCAGAAGCATGGTTCCCTTTTGATCCCGTAACGCGACATCCCATCTGATGGCGCTCTAAGGCATGAGACGCATTATGAGGATCCTCATAGTGTCGACGAGCCGAGCGAGGAGCAGAAGAAATGAGCGCGGGCATTTGGTCACCTGGAAACGAAGAAAAAGCAGAGAACGTAGCTGGTGAGAAAGCGTAGCTGACGACGGCCGCCTGGAGAAGTGAGCTCGCGAAGTCGCGAACTGACCGGCCCCACCAACTGCCAGCCCGCCGGAGCGCTTCGCTGGTTTCACGGGTCGAGCAGGGTCCTGTCAGGCGGTGATCCTCCCGACGACCCGAAAATCGAGTCTCAGCAGTCACCTTGAACTGTGGAATCGAGCGGAAAAAAAAACCGAACTGCAGCAGTGCTGTTGCCCAGGAAATTTGCAGCCTAGCACAAGACCCCATTGGACCCCCCTCCTCGCTGCAGCGAGACTGAAACGAATACCAGACCCGACCGTAGGATTCCTGCAAATGGAGAAGGCTTTGCCCGTGTTGGACTGACACCACAACCAGTCAGAAGACGGGGTTCCGGCGGGTTCCGGGGAAGTTCTGCAAGGCGATTGCTTTGCTGCACTGGCTTACAGGGGCCCCGGGGCCGCCATTGGGCCGCCATGGCGGCAAGCAAAGAAGCCGGTTCTCCACTGAGGCGCGCGCCAAAAGCACGCGCGGCACTTCGTGCTCGTCGCTGCCCTCTCGTGCTGACTGCGCTTTGTTTTGCGTTTCCTGCTTGGGAGGCTGCCTCTCTCGGACAAGGATCTTGACCTCAAGGACTGAAGCGCTGGGCCTGTAGGTGCCTTCTTGCATTTTGGAACGTTTGCAGGCAGCAAACAAGATCCTGGCCAGCGCGCAGACCCGCGAGAAGTTCTTAAAAATCGTGCAGTGCCTTTGCCTTCTGCAATTTCTGGAGGTCCCAATGTCCCGACTCAGCCGAGAGGTATGCCTCCAAGCTCTTTTCCTACGCACTGCTCCGCGACGCTCCAAGTGATCGCTCTGCGGACTCCAAGCTTCCCCCTGAATCAAGTCTTTCTGAGGCTCTGCCTACAAAGACTTGGGCCAGGGCCCCGGAGATGTGTCCGTCGTGACGTCGTGACCGCATGTTTTTCGTGGAGGCAAGCACTTGGAGGCTCTCTCCAAGAGCCTCTCAACAGCTCGACGATTCTTCAAGTTCTTCAGGCAGGAAAAGCCAGCAGGTGAGTCTGCGCCTACGGCCTGCGGGCAGCTGCGAGGTTCATGAAGCATTTCGAGGATGTTGCAGAAGCAAGAGCGGAAGAGCCTGCGGCTGAGAGCGGCTGAGAGCTCATAGAGCTCATAGCTCCATAGCTCGCGGAAGCTCGCTACTGGGAGCGCTCCCCTCTCGTGCCTTTCATAGGAGTCCCACATTTCGGTCCTTGCTCTTCATTGACATCCTTGCGAATCTTGTGGCAGACATCTCCGAGGACCTGCAAAGATGGGCCCATCAACACTGCCACACACATCCGCAAGACATGCCATGCCTCTTCCTGGACCCCCCCCCCCCCCCCCCCCNNGCCCCCCCCCCCCCCCCGGCGTCCGCGTCCTTCGATCTCCCGAGAAGAGCGCGGTCTCGGCCTGACCTGGCGAAGTGGGGTTCTCCTTTCTGCCCTTCCGAATCTGGCTCCGAGTGATGAGGGCTTAGCAATGATTTTGTTTGAGATGTTGCTCGCATCTCTGCAGAAGCCAGTTAAAATCGAGCTGCGAGGTCAGAGGCAGAGGCGGTGCTGTTTGCGAAGCGCTGTGTCGCGCAACTGTGGGAAGATCGCATAAAGAGGGGGGAATCGACCCCGTAGATGTGGACATATGTGGACAATGTTTCACCAAAGGCCCAATAAGCCCGCCTACGCACCTGGAGTTCAGAATCATCTGCACAAAGAATCTCTTTGGCAGCTCCGTCCCAAGGACCCTCTTGGGCCTGTCAAAGTTTGGTCCAGGAGCTACTGTTGTCTTTGGGTTTGCATGTGCTAGAGCGCTGTAATTGGCTGGTCCAATTTGTTTGAGATGTTCTTTGCGCGATGAAGGGGTGCTTGGACAGAGATGGCGAGGAGAGGCGAGGAAAGGAACCCAATGGCCCAATACAATCCAGACGAGCTGAACACATCTGATCGAATGATGCCAAGCTTGCAGCAACACAATAAACCACAGAAGCAATGTTGGTTCGTCGGATGCATAGTATCTGGTGGCCTTTGATTAGCATGGAGTTTAAAGTCCGCATAGCCTGCAAGACTCCGGAAGAAATCCGGATGAATCTGAGTCATGTCAAGTCATTTCAGTGCTATCTCGTTGTGTGGTTGTTTCGAGGCCAAATCGATGAGCTGGTCTGCTTTGTCGTCACGTGCTGAGATAACTCCAGAAGCCTGAAACAGAAAAGTCATGGAGCGGAGTACTGTGCAGACGCACAGCGACCATCCACTGATCCACTCCCTAAGGGCTGCAGCTCGCGCTGCGTTGAAGCAAATACTTGGGCGAAGGTCAACTGCCAGAAAGTAGACGGCGCGGATCTACATGTATTCTTGGGGCCAAACCTTGCCGAAGGTGTGAAGATCTTGGGGTTGCTCTTTGCTGAGAAGTGGCTTTCACGATTTTCATGATGCTACATCGGGAGACGGTGCTTGCGGTGTGTGGTCTGAATTTCATTACAAGTCGGGAAGGAGGTTCCTGCCCAAATCATGATGGTGCAGCTGCGATCTGTGCTTCGGTGATCCTCATTGTCTCGTCCTTAAGGCCCCACGGCGGCTCCCACACGGAAAATCCGAGTGGGTGCGACTGCCAGGGCGGCTAGGGTGCCCTTTCACGTCGCTGCTAAGCTTGGCGCGGTGTTCCACGCCAAGCTCTCGACCCGACAAGCGACAAACCTTTCCCAACCGTCGTTGCTTCGAATCGTTTCGAGTTGCATCATAGGTACATGCTACCTCTCTGTTTTCCTTGAAGCGGAAGACTTTCAGGCTCTTGCGAGATGCTGGCGAGATGCTTCCCTGCTAGATGTGGCGAAATCGGCAAACGTTCCACCATTCTGATTGAAAGCGGTACCCAAAGTGGTTGTGCAATGCGGCAGTGCCAATTCTCCACACAGTATGTCAGGACTGGACCTCACTTGAGAAGGTGGGTATTTTACGGAAGGGAACGCTGCACCCTCGCACCGAGTGAGCCCATGCTTACGGAGAGTTTGAGATTGACGGGTTGTGGGAGTTGTGGGATGTGAGGTACTATGCAAACTGGTGTCAGCTGGTCCTTGCGGTCGTGGAGATTATGGTGAGCAAGGTGAAAGCAGACCGGGCAAGCGAGAAGGCCAAGGTGCCAGGGAGCACGGTGCCGGATCAGCGGAAATCGCTTCTGGCCCCACGGCCGCAAAATTGAGAGACGACTTTCGCAACGCGTCGCAGCGTCGCGGCGCGGCCCTCTGAGGCTCGCCTGGAGTTCAGCAAATTCCTCGCGGACCTCCTCAAGGCGAGGCGCTCGTGGGCGAGGAGGCGAGGCTCCTTTCACGCGCGTTCTTATTGGCCTTTGAGGCCTTCTGGGACTGCGAGCTCCCCTTCGCGCCACTCCGGCCTGTGGCGATGTGGCGATGTCTGTGGCACTGTGGCAGCGGATCTCTGCAGGTCGGAGTTGGCGTTTTGCCTTGCAGGGCTCTGGGCCGCGCTGGTGAGCACGCACAAGTGCGCCAGCAAGCAGAACAGCTGAAGAAGCTGCTACCGCCACTCCCGCCACTCTCTCCGAGGTACGCGCTGCGAGCCCTGAAGTGAGACATCTGCGCATCTCCCACGGACGAGACAAAAGCGGACCGCTGCCGCTGCGCAGCTCATGCGCTGCAGAGCCGCTCCCTGCTCTTCGTATTTGCCGTATTTGCCCCTTCCGGCTCGAAGTGCCATGGCGATGGACTGGTCTCTGTCGCACCAGGACTTGCAGTGGCTTCACTGGGAGCCAAAGGACCGTGAGAAAAGCCTTGCGACTAGGTCTAGACTCCTAGACCTACTCGTAGCTTTTTTTGTTCGTTGGAGCGCCGGAGGACCCGGGCAATGCGCAGCCGGGGCCTCGCCACGTTGGCTGTATCTCTCTTTCGTTTCTTCACAGAGAGGTCGAGAACTCGACGGCCGCGGAGCTTCGCTCGCAGCCTGGAGCGGCAGAGGCGCATGCGGAGGGACGGGACCCGCGCGTGCTGTCACCGCGGAATGTGGCCCTGTCACCGAGGCCCTGGGCTTCGAGGCACTCCCCGCGGGAGCTCCATCATCCCGAGGAGCGGCTGCAGCTGAGCAGATGGCTCGAAACGACGTCGCGGGCTCAGACACAAACATGGCTCACCTGGCTCACGGCGCTCAGCTTTTGTGCCGGCTCTGGAATCCACAGAGTCACAGAGCACCGCGAAGCTACATTTGCACGCAGCATGAACCTGCACTGGAGCAACTTCAAGCTTAAACTGCAGCCATCATAGAACACGCATGTCGACCCCATTCGCTGGGTCCCATGGCCATCCAAGCGCCGGCCTCGACTCGTGCGAGTTTGGCGCAGCCGGCTGAAGCAACCCATGTTGGGTGAAGGTGCTTCGAGGTGTGCAACGCTGGGCGCAGGCCGTCGCGGTCGCCGTCTCGACACTCGTAAGAAGTTTGTGCAAAGTCCGCAACAAGAAAAAAGGCACACGGCAGAAGCAGAAGGGCGCAGAAGGGATTGTGCACTCGCAGGAGCTCCGCATAGGCGCTCTCGAGCGGCGGATCCGCCAGGCGCCGGGGGGACCGGGGATATGCGGGGATGGGAGGGGATTCAAATTCGCGTCCTGGCACCAGGATCCCACGAAGCTCCGAGAGCGCCTGAAGCTGGCGGCGCTCTACTGCCGCCAGGCCGAGGCAGCCGAGGCCGCGGCGGCCGCGGGAGCCGAGGCCAGGGTTCTGTTCGCCGCCGCGGCTCTTGGGCTTGGGCTCGGGGCCCGAGCCGAGCGAGGCCTTAGAGAAGGCGGTGCCTCACCTGGAGGCTCTAAAGTCTAGTGACTCCAGTGAGCGCAGGACTCCCGCAAAGAAAGTGAATTTCCGCTTGCCGCGAGGCGGTGCTCGCAGTCGGAAGCTCGGATGCCCTCCTCGGAGTGTCCTCGCTCGCACTGCACGCCAACTTATGACTTATGGGGCCCGAGCCTCTGCCGCCAAGAACCCAAAATCCAGAGTGCGAGTTGCGCATTGAAACAGCGCGGTCACCCCATCAGCCCCAGCAACATCGACAAAGCTTAAGCTGCAATGCCATAGCCGTCATGCGCAGCCATGGCGAAGGCGGAGGCGCGTTGCTGCGCCTTGCTGCTGTTTGACTCATTTTTGGGGCACCCAGAAGCCGAGCTGAGCTGCAGGTTTCAGAGGAAGTGTGCCGCCGACTGGATCAGCTGCTGTTGTCCGCGTGCGAGGCTGTTCTACCACTAGAGCAGGTGGGGAATCCGGGATGGGATGGAAAGGGGGAAGGCAGGAAGGCATGGCCGCTGCTTGCTGTGTCAGGCGGCCGTGGTCCTGGAGCCCGGCGAAGGAGGGGGAGCCCGGCTTCCCCTCCCTCCCTCTCCCTCTCTCTCCCTCTCTCTCCATCCTCGCGTCTTCGAATCCGGAGCAGGGGTGCGCCGCTTCGGCGGGGCCTCGGGCGGTTTCCGCTGCCGCGCGGCCCGGACCGCCTTCCACAGGCGCACAGCGGACTGCGGGATGCGCATCGGGATGCTGCGCGGAATGCTGGGCGGACTGCGGTCAAAGTTCGTCGGGCCAGCTGGATCGGTGTGTTCCATGCGGCCTACGGCGGCCTGCGATGTCCTGCAGAGGCTGCGCCGGGGAGCTGCCGGCAGCATCAGCTACGAGATCCCGTGCCCCGCCCTAGGCCGGTTCTTTCTGCGTTCTGCAAAAGCCGATGCAGAAAAAATAGATTTAAGATCAGGCCGTAGCACTATCAGCAGCAGGAGTAGTGTAGTTGAGCGCTCCCACGGGTTTTGCAATGACGGGAGTGGTGTGTAAGTTAATTATTTCTCCGATTGATCTTGCCATTACGGGGGGTGGATCCTTCGTATGAGGTCAACATTGTTGCAGTGTCTCTTTTTGTTGCGCATCGCTTCAGTGCAGAAAGCGGCGGAGTGCCCAGGTGGGCTGCCGAAGAGGTGGACTTTCGAGGACGCGGCCGCACTTGCCAGGGGCCAAGACTTCAGCTGGCGACAGCTTTTGCAGAGACTAATCCACAGAAACGGCTCAGATCCTATGAATTATTATAGTTTCTCTTCTGTGATCGAAAACGCGAACTCTATGCACCATCTGCATCGTGCGCACATGCACAAATTTATGCAATGTTTATACTCCACAGTTATGGAAATATACTCGTAGCACCTTGAATACTGCAGTAGTCTCTCTTACATGCAGACTTGTGATATGTGTAATGCTTGTGTGCTCAATTACTGTGCGAGCTTACGTGACTTCGCTTCCCTGTGTGTTCTTGGCGCTACTGTTTGCCACACATGCCTCTGCACTTCATGTCCCCCCGAACCCGAAAGCGCTGAAAGTCTAAGGCAGCGGTTCTTCTGGAGCCTGCAACCCAGCAGACAGAACTGCGAATGCGACAACGAGAGGCCTTCACAGAGAGACACCGGTTGTAATTTGGGGCCAGCTTTCCCTTTGCCCCGTCCTGCCCTCTGCGCCAAAACTGTTGAGTGCCACAAGGCCAGCACCGTTGAATTTGGAGAGTCTTGAATCAGAATGCTTTAGTCTGGTTCTTGCGAGATGAGCGTGCAGTGTAGCGCATGTCACGAAAGCTAGCCTCCGTGGCTGGCCGAGTTCCTTACCGAAAGGGCCCCCGCCCAGGTGGGCATTTTCTGCGCGTATTTGGGGCTATTCCCCAGCTGGTGCTGGTTTTCGGCTGGTCCCCGCTCGGGTCCTTTTTCGGGTGTTTGAATGTGGTGCTTCAGACTGCTCCCGAGTGGAAAAACGGCTCCCCGATGATGCTCATGATGCGCGTGTGTTGGCCCCAAGAAGCCCCTAATGATGCTCATGATGCGCGCTTGTTGGCTTGGATTGGGATCCAACAGGGAGGGCGTATTTTTTATTTTTTATTTTTGTCATTTTTTTTTCTGGGGTCCCTTTGAAGGCAATGAAGGAGGGAAGAAGAAAGAAGGAAGGAGGGAAGGAAGGAACGAAGGAAGGAAGGAAAGAAGGAAGGAAGGAAAGAATGAAAGAATGAAGGAAGAAAGGAACGAGAGAAGGAAGGAAGAAAGGAAGGAAGGAAGGAAGGAAGGAAGAAGGAACGAAGGAAGGACAGAAAGAAGGAAGGAAGAAAGGAAGGAACGAAGGAAGGAAGGGGAGAAGGAAGAAAGGAAGGAACGAAGGAAGGAAGAAGGGAAGGAAGGAAGGAAAGAACGAAAGACGAGATGAAAAATAA